AGTAGGGATGGCCGCTCTCGGGAGGAATACCGCCCGATTCACACACAGCGCCTCACTCACCAGAGGGCGGACTCAAACACTCCCTGCCATGGAAGTCCGCGTTAGCTCTTCTAGAAGCCCTTCAAAAACTGCAGAGGGCGGTGGTGAGAGGCATGAATTTTGGTGCAACACAGACTGTTTACTGCTTGAGCTGTCTGACCATGGGGGTGGTACTTACCCCACATAAGTCTCAACGGCCTCATCTGTAAAATGGGAGTAACCCTTGTGCCTATCACTTCCGAATGTTCTAGCATTCACAGAGATTGTACACATGAGGGCCTGAGCACCATTCCGGCCATGACCACCAACACCAGCGTCACCTCCGCCATCACCCAGGGACTGCCCACAAATGGTAGAAAAAGAAACATTAACTCCTCAGAAGCCCAGGATCCCAACAGTGACAAAAGCGACACCTTTTCTGTCCTCAGCATTTTGGGTTGATGTTGAATCATCCTGGGATAGAGTCATGAAGGGAGAGACCTCAGGAAGTTGTGTGATCCGGCTCTCTGTCCCTGAAGATGTGCAACTGTGGTCTATTGTCCTGATAGGCCCTGCACGGAGAGTAAAGGGCCTGATAATCCAGATTTTAGGGGCAACACCGGCCAAGCAGGGCTGGAGGCGTCTTTGTTGTAGAGTATGGGACTTCGCCCCAGGGCATATGCACAACCAAGGAGATGGGAAACCTTTGCAGTAAAGTTTCTCAAACTCATCTGTCTATCAGATGCAGCCAGTTCTCCTTGCCTCGTGGGACTTTTAGTCTATAAACCAGCTGTGAACTCCACATGTATGAATACTGACCCACCTCCCAGGAGAAATGCAGGATAAGGTTCCTGCAAAGCCTCTGGCCATCATTTTTGTTGAACAATCAATACATCACATTGTTTTATGTGTGCTTTCTATTTAGACACCTTATTTAATGTGCATTCTTCACAAGTAATTACATCCAGTATTTCTTTATAATAAAACCAGTTGAGAAAGAGTCTCACATTTCCCTGACCTTGGATAATAAGACCGTAAATTTCTTGGGCTCTCAGCCTCATCACAGTGCCTTCACTGCGCTCTTTTTATTAGCGGGTCATCTTGTGAATCCACAGTTAGCCACTTTTCCAATGCTTCCTCACACACTATACATATTACTTTAGCACTTTCCAGAGCAACCTTGTGTACAGATTGGTGAATTTCCTCTTCCTCTCTCTGGCTGTACCATATTGTTGACTCATGGCCAACAGCTCTATAACTCACACCTACACGAAATATCTAACAGTGTATTTTCTCCATACGGCACATCACAGCCTTCTCGTGCTTAGAAACATTAGACAGCACTCCAGCACTGCACTTGGGGGTCATTTTATCACCCCACAAAGAACACAAAAATGCAAAAAACATGGCACTAAAAGGATCATGCAAAGGACGCCTGCTTGCAGTATGAGAGATGAGAGCTGAGACAAGAAGGCAGAGTGTCTCCTTGTTCAGACTCCACTGGGATCATGGACATTGAGTGACTCACGTTTCTGCCTCTCTGTGCATGCCCACAAATGCTTGCAAAATTGCCAGGAGTATTGATTTTAAGCTTACACATAAATGTTAGCGAGTGGGCCAAGCCACAGATAATGGAATCCATGAATAACAAGGATCAGCCAGGCTTTGTTTACAGAACACATCTAACAGGATGCTTTGGGAAATCCTGTCAGGTAGCTCACCTCTTTGATTTGAAAACTCCCCGTGATAGAATTCGGCACTGCCATGTGGCAAAATATATATATATATTTTTTTGCTTCTGTTTTCCAAATTTCCCTCAATAAACATGCACTGCTTTGAAAACAGTTCGTTCTTCTCTAAAAAACACTCATGCACAGATCTCTGTTCCCCCCCATCCCAACCCGTCTTCCTGCAACTTGAGCCTATCTCCTTTGGGTTCTCTCACATCCTGCCCTCCCCTCACCCAGTGCAGACCTCTTGGTCTCCCCAGCTTCATGCAGGTGAGAGGTCCACCTGCAAACTGGAGTCTTTTCAAAAGGAAACATGGCAAAGGAAATATCTGTAGCAACAAGTAACATCTAGAGCATGCAAGTGCTCCTAGGAAATAGAAAAGCATCCAGACCCCACAAGATCAAGGGCACACATCAGCCATTCATGGAAAAGGAGAGACAAGTAGCCAAGATAAACGTGGGGAGACGGTCAACGTTCATGCCCACTACAGGAATTTATCCTCGAGTGATAAACCAGAAGAAGGAAAACTTGGACCGAGATGTCCATGCCGGCCTGAGGCATAAAAGACAATGCCATGTGCAACCTGCATGCTCACTGGCAGGGTCTGTGCAGACAAACGAATGAGACGGCACGTGACCTGAATGGAACATGCAAAGGCCAGTAAAAATGATCACGAAAATTACATGGCGACACGGAGAAACATTTGCAGCATGTCAGGTTCTAAAAGGTGGATGGCAAAATTACGTCTGGACCACCATGACAGCCATGTACATTATTCATGGTCAGTGCTGGAGTCTGAAGGGGAACACGGCGACACCAAAAGAGCTCATCTGTGAGGGCCGTGGGAGCCGTGGCGGGTACTTGCCCCATATTCCCATTTCTGATTCCATTGTGACATCGTCGTTCATGCAAGGACGAAACAGAATGTACGCGATACTCTTCCAAGTGGCCACGACATAACTCTTCCAGCTTTAAAAGGAGTGTCAGAGAGGAGAGGGATGCCATGCAATTCCTCCCCCAGCAGAAGCCTCCCTCGGTATCCCCTCTCAAATGTGAATGGGGCATCTTACCGACTGTCGATTCAGTGGTCTTGCGGCGGGGCCGTCCAGTGGGGCCAAGGCTGCTGGCCCACAGACCGCGCTTCAGAAAGGAGGCTCTAGGTAGCTAGTACTGGCCTTTCTCCTTTAGTTTTTTTTGTTTTATTTTACCATAGCCTGAACCCCCAGCTATGCCACACTAACCACGAATGGCCCAGGTAAAGGTCAGCAAGGGACTCATCCACCCTGGAAGCCTATTTGAGGCCTCTCTTTTGTTGGCTCCCACATAGTCTCGCTGTCCCCCACAGGGGCAGTGGGGTGGGGGTGGGGGGAGTAAGGGATTCCTTTGAGGAAGGCAGGCTGCGATCTGAAGCAAGGAGTTACCCCATTTCCCACCGCACCTCCTTCACACAATCTTCCTTTCAACATGATCCTATCATAGTGGCTCTTTTGGGTCAAATTTCAAAAGGTTCCTCATCTGGAGAATGGGTCACTTGGGTCTATGAGATGTAAAGATCCAGGTCACATCCACTCAGACATGGCAGAGTCCTCAGGTCCCATGTTCATCCAGAACCCTTGTCAGCCCTGAGCTGGGAATCACCAGGCTTTCCCCTTGAGGGAAGTAGTTTGCAAATGAATGATGAGTAAACCAAAAAAGCTATGCAATAATTAACCAGTTTAAATGAACTTTTCCAGGGGCGCCTGGGTGGCTCAGTTGGTTAAGCGACTGCCTTCAACTCAGGTCATGATCTCAGGGTCCTGGGATCAAGCCCCGCATTGGGCTCCCTGTTCAGCGGGAAGCCTGCTTCTCCCTCTCCCGCTCCCCCTGCTTATGTTCCCTCTCTCGCTGTCTCTCTCTGTCAAATAAATAAAACCTTTAAAAAAATAAAATAAAATAAAAATAAATGAGCTTTTACAGCTCTTGGATAAGAGTGTTTGCTTCGAGGAGATACCCGCCCTTCCCCTCAGCAGCCCCTCCCCTTCATGCTCTAACGATTATGTTCTCTTGACAAGAACCTCATGAGGGAAGTCATTTGCTATAAACAGGTACAGTATGTCGCCCACCCCGTGCAGCCCCCATCAGTCCCCTGTGGCACCACAGCCGCTCTTGGGCCATGAGTCCAACTCGGCCAAAGTGAAGAGGGCCAGCAGCGCTTTGGCCTAGAGCCCAGACCTTAGGTCCACAGCCTCCTGCCCTTGGGGGGAGCTCCCCACATCCACTAGGCAACAGCGGTTTCTCTACATCCCAAAGCCCCTGGTGTATATGCACAGCTGCCCTGAATGCCAGGAACACCCTCAAAAGGAAGCCAACTTACATTTAATAATCTTTAAAAAGGAACAAAAGGTATCAACAAGCAAGTGCCAGAAATCTAGCAGCGAGTGAATATGACTTATGTCCCAAAGACACGTTCTTAGCATATGTATATATTTTTTAAACTCATGGACTCTTCTGGGGAAAAAATAATAATTAAGGCTTTAAAAATATAAGAGTGTTTCATTCTCATTTGCCCAGAGAATTGGCCAAATAGAAGTTCCTTTACGCAAGTGTAATAATCACATCTTCTTTACATATTCACAGAGGGGTTTTTTTTTTTTTTTGAAAAGCAGCTTTTCAAATGTAGCTATTAGAATACATGCTCCCTTTAATATAATTAAAAGGAAATACAGTTATGCTTAAATCCACTGGCCTCATTAGCATGCATTTCTTCTCCAACACTTTGTCAAACCTTCAAATAATTATTTTCAAAATAATTACTTACAGCTAGTTGCCCATAATGCCCAGCCCCTGAGCTTTCAGAAGAGTGTCACCGGGATACAGTGGCCCCTGTGAAATGTGCTCAAGTCACTGTCCCTTGTCACTGGGGCATCCAACGACTGGCTGCAGCATTATACACGACCCAGCAACCCCACATCCTTGCCAATGTCCTGTTGGCCTGAAGAAACCAGCTAGTGGGGGGATGGTAGTCTCAGGAACCACCCCCAACCATGAGCAGATGCAGGGCAAGCGGGCTAGAGACCAAATCTCTCTCTGGGAGGGGGCGGGTCTTCTGGATGGCACCAGAACATCCACACACCTGCTACGTAACTGAACAGATGAAGAACTAAACGCACATTTGAGCTACGGGCTTTGGTATCTGCACAGGTGACACCAGAGCATCCTTTGCTCTCTGGGCCCCTCCGTCCCCCCTTCCCCGGGGACAGCCAGAGTCCTACCTGCTCTGGGGGCCACTTCGGCCTCTCCTCTGGAGTCCTGGACTTGGTCTTGAAGCCTCTCTGGGGGTCTCCAGAGTGCTTGGCCTCAGGAGGGAGGTTCAGTGACTTGGGCCTTCCCTCGTGTCTGCTGGGGCCGTGGCTGGCCTCGCCGGGCGGGCAGGCCTCCGTGGAGTCCTCGGGCCCCCGCACCAGGGCATGTTCAGGGCTGGTCTCACCAGCGCTCGTGATGCTGGTCATGCTCAGGCTCATCTTGATCTCGGCCACGATCTGGTCGATGTCCTCCTCCTGGTCCTCCAGGTCCCTGTCCCCACGCCTCGGGCGATAGGGGGAGGCATTGCCCGTGTTCCCGTTGGCCTCCGTGGGGTAGTAGTCCTGGTAGCCCTCTTCACTGGGGCAGTAGTGGACACCTTCTTCCTGGTCCTGGGCCTCCAGTACGGAGGCCTCATCCTCCGGGATGGGGAGGTGGCCGTCCCGGTAGTCCGGGCTACCTTCGTCCCCATGGCTGTGTGGGTGGGGGCCTGCCGAGTCTGTCCACTCCTCCACCGCCTCCTGGCACTCGTCCGTCTCCAGGTGGCGTGTGCTGTGGGCCAGGTACCCCTCCCCGTTGCAGTCCATGCCCTCCAGGTAGCTGTCATCCTCGGGGCAATAGCGGATGTAGTAGGTGATGCCCTCCTCCTCTTCAGGGAGGCCCTCATCGTAATCCTCCTCCTCGGAGGTGTTGTTCACGTAGTCAGAGCTGGAGTCCCCATCAGGGCTGTGGTCGTGGCACCCCTGGTCCGGGGGCGTGGGGCTCTCGGGCCGCAGGGTGGCCAGCTCCAGGCCCTGGGGCACGTACTCCTCCAGGGGCAGCTCTGTGTCCTCGCTCTCGGGCTCCTGGCCATGGGGCATGGGGCCTGGCCTCGCCCTGTGGTCCAGCATGCTGCTCGCCGTGCTCTGACGCTTCCGGTTGGCCATGGCGGACGCTCACACGGCCATGGTCACCTGCAGACAGCCACTGTGGGGAGGAACGTTGGAGAGGACAGTCAGAACCCCGCCAAGCATGGCCACCCCAAGAATCGTGCCGGGCCACGGGCTGCCAGCCGCGGGACCCATGGGACTGTTTCACCACCATGTTGTCTCAGGGCAATGGTAATGCACATCTGTTCCAACAATGCAACATCCCCACTGCAGCTGCCTCACGTGTTGCGAATCACGCACGCCCATGTCAAAGAGAAGAGAGGACACGCAGGGCTGGAGGGAAAGGGGCAGAGGCGAGGCACCTGCCATTCACCAGGATGACTGCCTCTCCCCCAGAATCTCACCAGCTCATTAAGGACTTCTTAAAAACGCTCACCAGTTTGGGTAGCCAAGGTGACAAGACAAAGAGTCATCAGATCAAGTTATTTGCTCTCCAAAAAAAAAAAAAAGAGTGAGACAGAGAAGCTTACATTCAGAAGACATGATGAGGTCTGATGAGGAGGTACACTACCTTCCAAGTCTAAATCCTCAGTGTTCCCCAAAGGCCCACTCAAGTTCCCTCCCCTATCAGCTTGTCTCGCCCTCCCCAGCGCACAGAAGCCTCTCCTTCCTCCTCCCTCTCAAACCACATTCCCCCAGTGGCCACCTCTGCAGGGAACTGTCCAGGCCGAGCACCATACAGAGAAGCTGAACCTGAGCCCTAGCCTCACAGGCTCAGCAGGCTGAGGGCACCGGAGAAGGCGGGGGACACCAGAGGGAGGACAGCGCTGCCTGGCCGCAGAGAGAAGGGGAGCACCCAGGAGAGGGCAGAGGGTGTGGCTACAGCTTGTGGAAGGTGGGTCGTGGTATCACGGGGCACCGCGAAGATCCTGTGCATCCAAACTGGGGAAGTCCTTCCCCCACCACCCAGGACTCTCTGCATTTTATCCCACAAACCACGCAGAGTCATCGGGCAACTTTCAGCAGGTGCAGGACACACAGGATTTCTCTTTTAGCCTCATCTGTCTGAGCCCAGCGTAGAAGAGATGCTGGGGGAAGGGAGACCAGTGAAAAGTCTATTACTGTGCTCTAGGGCAAGTGAGGGGCTGGCATCAGGGAAAAGGCACAGAGGATATCCAAACAGATGGTTAATGTTTTGTTTTTTTTTTTAAGATTTTATTTATTTATTTGAGACAGAGAGAATGAGAGACAGAGAGCATGAGAGGGAGGAGGGTCAGAGGGAGAAGCAGACTCCCTGCCGAGCAGAGAGCCCGATGCGGGACTCGATCCCGGGACTCCAGGATCATGACCTGAGCCGAAGGCAGTCGCTTAACCAACTGAGCCACCCAGGCGCCCAGATGGTTAATGTTTTATTTCTTCAGCTGAGTGCTTACCCAGGTATTTGCTTTAATCTTTTTTTTTTTTTAAGACCTTATTTATTTGAGAGAGAGAGGAAGTACAAGAAGGGGGAGGGTCAGAAGGAGAAGTAGACTCCCCACAGAGCAGGGAGTCAGTGCGGGGCTCGATCCCAGAACCCTGAGATCATGACCTGAGCCAAAGGCAGACACTTAATCCACTGAGCCACCCAGGTGCCCCTATTTGCTTTATTCTTTAAACTGTACTTTCACATTACATACGTCTTGGTTTTGTTTGCATCATAGTTCATTTATTTTTAAAAACGTATTCCTGTGTCCAGAGAGAAGAAACGAGAGCCTGTATCCAAGAAAATGGTCACAAGGGTAAATTTCACGATACATACGTTTTATCACAATTTAAAAAGTTTTTTTTAAAGAAATGACAGCTTAAACTAAAGCAGTGGAAATGAGAGAGGAGACGTGACTCAGGCAGTATTCAGGCAGTGGAAGCAATGGGATCTGGGCTCAGCAGTAGAGAGTGGAGAGCGGAGATAGGGGCTCTCATGGCAGGTCTGGCCCAGGCTCTACATTTTCTTTCTTCCGCCTTATCTCCCCAGAAAAGTCCTCAACTAAAAACCCTTTGTACTCCGTACTCCCCAGAGCGCCCACACAGCATTTTGCTTGTGGCGGTGCCCAAAACGCATTTTGCTATGACACTGGGTTTACCAGATGGCCAGTCACAGCATTATGCATATTCCCAAAAGAATGGAGGAGATAATTATTTCATTTGTGCAGACGCTCAGGAGCACCATTACTGGCTGAGCCAACATGTGAATTCATCCAACATGTGAATTCAGTCCAAGGAAGTTTCCTATTTCAAGGGGCTCATGAGCGGCCGTGGCTTGACAACACCACTATGTGCTGAAAGATGCACTGTGCTTCTTCTCCAGAGCAGCCCACAGACTAGAAAGATACTCCGCACCAGTAATATTATCACTGAGATGGACCCTGTAGAGGCTGAATGCCCTCACAAGTTACCCTGTCCCTAAACCCCAAAACCAATGGGATAATTCCAGAGATTTGTTCCCAGGTAGGGATCAAGGTGCTCAGTGTTCACTAAAACACAGGTGCCCAGAGGAAGCACTGAAGGCCCTGACCTGCCCCACAGCCACTTACAATTTTACAACAGATCTCTTACTTTTACAGAGGATAGCTAATGCCCGGGACACAGACTGACGGAACCTGACAGTCACCTTCTTGTGGACACAATCTCTAGTAATGACATTCCCCAAAATAGTCCCAAAACATTCATTGACATTACAGCATCTCTGTACTTCCTCAGGCCATGCACGCTGCAGGTTTCCACAGGCTTGTTAAAGAACAAACTCAGGTACACAGTACCTCTTAACTTCAAATTCCAGCTTAAATTCAAATTCTGTCATTTGGGGGACAAAATCTACATGCATGGACACATGTATGCCCATATCTACACATAACGCCCTCTAGGCCAATCTTAGACTCAAGGACTAAAGTACATACATGACGGTAACATGGAATAGTCCCTGATCCTATAAATGAGTCACCCAAAACAATCTATAATGTAAGCCTAGCCCAGCCAAAATCCCAGCAGAATATAGGGGAAACTTTGACCCAATAATTCTTAAGTTCACTTGGAAGAACACACACGTGAAAATAGCTGAGAAAGATCTAAAAATGAGAGTTAATGAAGAAGAACTTGCCTTATCAAGCATATATATATATATACTCTGAAGTCATGGTAATTAAAATGCCATGGTATCGTTGCTGGACAGACAGCAATGGTACAGACGAGAAAGCCCAGAAACAGATCTATGTTTACTTAGTTTTATCTATAAAATGTAGTTCACCTGGGAGTGAGGAGTTTCCCGACACAAAGAACTTTTAGTGCTAAAACCAGAATGGGTCGTTACCTTAAGGCCGTGGGAAAAAAAAAATTCTTTTCAGTGGCAGGTATGGGGATCCTTGGGTAACCTAGTGGTTCTAAAACTTTGCTGCACATTGGAATCACCTGGGGGACTTTTACAAGGGCCGATGCCTAGCATTCCAAGCTCACTGGTAGGAGGCATGACTTGGCATCAAGATTTTTAATGTGGAGCAAAGTTTGAAACCCACTGGGCTAAACATTTAGGGGAAAACAAAGCTGCTTCCTACCTTATAGGGATATACTCTCCAGATAGAGTAGATTTTTAAATGTAAAGAATCAAGGTTTCCAGAGGATGGCTAGTTTGCTTGCGTAAAGGGAAAAGGGCCCCTCCCCTGGGAAATCTGGAACTCATGGTACCAGGGATGGGGTGCAGCTCACAGACCCAGGGCGTGTCAGAGGAAGCACTTACGATAAGTCCTGTGGCTCCAGGAGGTGTGGACATTTTCCCTTGAAGAAGCAGATTCAGCCCATTTCTGTCCATACTTTAAAAATAGAGGGGTCCTGGGAGCACCCGGGAGACGGCAGAGGGGTGGCCCAGTCAGTGAAGCATCTGCCTTTGGCTCAGGTCACGATCCTAGGGTCCTGGGATCGAGCCCCAAGTCAGGTTCCCTTCTCAGTGGGGAGCCTGCTTCTGCCTCTGCCTGACATTACCCCTGCTTGTGCTCTCGTGCTCTCTAATAAATAAATAAATAATCTTTAAAAAAAAAATAGAGGAGCCTCTCTTCTCACATGTCAACCACAAGGTCTAGATGGTCAGCCCAGTTGCTGCCAACTCACCAGAAAATCATTCTCCCCCTGTACCTTCTAGCCCCTACAATGAGTAATTTTTTTTTAAAGATTCTATTTATTTATTTGAGACAGAGAGAATGAGAGAGAGAGAAAGCACATGAGAGGGGGGAGGGTCAGAGGGAGAAGCAGACTCCGTGCCGAGCAGGGAGCCCGATGCGGGACTCGATCCCGGGACCCCAGGATCATGACCTGAGCCGAAGGCAGTCGCTTAACCGACTGAGCCACCCAGGCGCCCCAATGAGTAATTTTTGTATGTACAACACTGGGTCTTCTCACTTAAGAAATATCTCCCCATTTATTCAAGTCTTAAATGTCTCACAACAGCATTACAGGATTCTTCATAGCGAGTTTATTCTTAGATTATATTACTTTTTTTTGTGGCTGTGTGTCTCCCATTATATATTTACCTGGCTGTTGCTGGTACATAGAAAAAAATCCACACTGAGCTTGTAAAAGTCCCTTTTTAAACTCTAACAGATTTTAGTTGATAAATTTTGTTCTTCTCCTTTTCAGCATTTGATCACCTCGTCTGGCTGCATTGCCCTGGGCTTCTACTACTACACAGTTAAGTGATTAAAGGGGCATCCTTGACTTATTCCTAATGGCAATGAAAATGTCTTTACTTCTTACCAGGGCTGGTCCAGGGTGAAGCATGGATGGCACTCACCCCAATCACAAAATTTAACAAGGCATCAAAAAACTCAGGAATCAAAACAGAATTTTTTTTTTTAAGAGACAGATGGGGAGAAGGGCAGAGGAAGAGAGAGAATCTTAAGCAGGCTCCACACCCAGTGCGGAGTCCGACACGGGGCTCAATCTCACTACCCTGAGATCCTGACCTGAGCCAAAATCAAGAGTCAGACACTTAACCGACTGAGCCACCCAGGCGCCCCCCAAAGAGCAAATGTTTTAATGCAACACTTTAAAAAATAAAAATCAACGCAAGAATAG